GTAGAGAGAAGGGAATAAAACACCACAGCTAAAAAGAACATAATCAAAATAAGTAAAATTGCAAAATTTGGTTGCAAAATGTTGTAAAATGCAGAAAATATAGCCTTGCGAAGTTTGCATATTTTCAGTATATTTGTATTACGTGCGGAAATTGTTACCATTTTCGGCTCAAAAATATAATGGTAACAATTTCCGCACGTAATACAAACATACTGAAACTATGCAAACTTCACAAGGCTATATTTTCTGTATTTTACAACATTTCGTAACCAAATTTTGCAATTTTACTGATTTTAATAAGTTCTTTACGGGAACTTACTTTTTTTTGCCTAAATCAAAAATTAGTCTAACATGCAAGTTGTCTATTGTTTTCCTTCAATTTCTTTGTGTATTATTTACTATAATGGAACTCATGTTATTTACACTGTGCTAGATCAATACATATAAACACTGACAGAAAACAATTAAAGCAAGTCTTGCATTTTCGGTTCAGTTTTGAACCGAGATTTTCCGAAGTTGGTAAGTCTCTCTTTCTCGCTCCGCCCCTCCGTACTACGTCATGTAATGTACACTATAGTGGATCGATATGACAATGAAAGAGAGACTTGGAATTCGTAAAGGAATTGCACTAACATTTCTGACAATTCGCAATTTCGCCAAGGCAATACTTTAAATTGGGAGGGCACCTTGGCTTTGCCCACCTTGCCCCTCCTGGTAAAGGGCAACGGGGGCGACCGCCCCTCCTGCCCCCCTCCCCCAGTTCCGGCGTCCCTGCTCAGAGCTCTGTGCTCAGAGTAATGTTTTAATGTTTTAATAAGATTCGGCAACAACCTAAAAATACAATAATGACCACAAACATCGTATTCACCCGAGTACATAATACCAACACACATAAAAAGTATTATTAATGATTGTTTTAATGAACATTACATATTCGAGGGCACATCTGATTAAGGTTTTTCCCTTCGTTTAGGAAAAGACAGCAGACCATTTTCAATTTACGGCCAATTGCCTTTTGAAAACGTATCTGCCGCGTACGACATCGCGTTCGGCGCGAGTGAGGAACGCGCGAGCAAACGAAAACTCGAAGCGTTAAAGCGTGTGGAGGAACAGGAACGCTTACGTGCTTACAGCGTCTCTAGGCAACAGAGCGAAACGAGGGGTAAAAAGAAATGTTGGGGAGCAAAGCGGGGTAAGAAGGGAGCGCGGAAATTTACCAAACCCCTGGCGTGGAAATCTCCGTGGCCCAAGCAGGAAGCCGGCGATCTCTCAGATATGGAAACCGACTGGACCGATATTAACTAATTTGTTTGGGACTCTGTAATGTATGGGACCTTAATGTACTTTTTTTATATTTCTATTTGCATTAGGATTGTGAGGAAAATAAGATGTTAATTGTAAATTTTCAGAGGAAATAAACTTTTTGATTAAGAGCGCTGGGAGTGTGACTTTTACCTGTGGCTGTTACAGGTCTGTAAACAAGATTCTTGTCGAGCAGGAACAAAAGTTGTTCTGACATTGGTACGAGGTTGTTCACGTTCGTTACAGACTGTTCGTAACAAGTTGCTACGAGCTTGTTGTCATCGACCTGTTAACAACTTGTTACGTGCAGTCAGACGATCAGAGTCAGACTCGTTAGAACAACTTAATTGTTGCGAATCTGTGTTGACCTCATCAAACTTGATACAAGGTATTTGCTGTTTTGGTGTAATGTACTCAGGTGAATAAGACGCTTGTGATGTTCCTCTGAGTGTATATCAACACCGGGCAGGCTTGAAAAATATGCCTGGCCACGGTGG